TTTTGGTTATAATGAATGTAAGTACTAAGCTCCTCACTACACACCCATTCTGACCCCTGAATTCCACTGCTCACACACATCCAACCAAGTGCAGGTGTAAAAAGCAATACAGGTACTCTGTGAACAGCCTGATTTACAAGCCAGGTTATACCCATTTAATACATAACCAGATAAAGATGCACTGTAGATCATGTATAAACAGTTACCTATGAACAGTGCTACTTCTCCAGAATCAGAGAAGAATTTTTGTCTCCACTTCTCTCTTGCTAGATGCATGAAGGCTGCACCAGCAACACTGAGCACTTGAGACCCAGCAAGCTTTGGTTATGAAGAAAGCAGCTTATGGGGCATCTGGTAAGAGCCCCATAGAGATGCCTCCAGAAGATCCCTTCCCTGTGCTGTCTTAGGCTGAACTGGTGAGTCCAGAGCCATGCCCTGGCAACACATGTCATTTCTACTGTTCAGGAACCCAGAATCTCTCATGCCTGGAGATCTCTTCTGTACAGAGTGGAGCACGATGGAGCATTTCAGGGCCCTGTGTTTGTGCTTCTCACTTGCTGTGCTCTGAGCAGACAGTGAATGAGCTACCAAGACATGCAGGGCTACGTCCAAAGGAGGAAATGAAAATCCAAGAAAGAAATGAAGAAACGTTAAGAGACAAAGTGTTGTCAGAGGTGGCCACTTCAGCACTATTACTGTAAGGAACTTCACCTCCTGCCATGCTAACCTGTTGTCTTTGCCAATGGTGCTGACCTGCCCCTGGGAAGCACTCATGCAATCCTGTGGAGCCGTTGGCTCTGGAAATCCCTCTGTCCCCCGTGCTAACCGAGCTTGCAAGGTAGAGAACGTGCCAAGCAGGGAAATGCTTTTGGGCAATCTGGTGGGATATTGAGATCTGTTCTGCTAGTTATTAGGGGAGGGACACCTCTCCCTCAACTCGCAGAAGCACAGCCTGATACAGTGCTGCCTTTCCAAAGATGCTTCATTTTCCCAACAAGCAGGAGACAAAACACCTCATGAGACATGAGCTGCAGGTGACCAAAGTTTTACTATTGTCCTGAGAGAGAACTGCAGGTCAAGTCCAGGTGTTATTTGTCCATTAAGAGATTGATTTCCTATTGACTTTGTCTGCTGAGATTCCTATGGAGAAAAGCCCTCCTGAGCTGTGTCCTCCAGCAGATTCTGCCTCTGGCATATGGATTAGGTGATCCTCCAAAGTGGTCATGGCCTACAGGATTTTTTTGTCTCCCAGAAATTGGCATAGGGGTTTTCTGCAAGATGAAGGGAAAGTCTGCATCTGATTTCTGTGCAACCCATTTCACACAAACCCTTACTACACTACCATTTGTTCTAATCGTTTCCCACTAGCCTGCAGTTTTTGCAGGGAGTAGATGCTGCCAGAGAACAAGGACTAAGGGGATCAGACAGTCTGAACTTCCTGCTCACCCCTGTTGGCTCCTGCCAGCAGGATATGGAAGTGCTGCTGGAGAAGGGGTGAGGGAAGGTGCCCTGGACCCTGCCATGCAGAGCTGAGTGCGTGCTACAGACACGGCCTTTGCAAAGCACATCACACCTTCAGTGTTTTTCCTGATGGATAGCTCTGCAGCCCAGTCAATCCCTGGTATAATTACACACATCATGTATCATTCCAAGCAGATTCCTTTTGAAACCAAGAGCTTAATTGTGACCTACTTTTTTCTTACTGTCTTATGGAAGTTTCTAAAAGGCCTTTGAAATCCAGGATGCTAAGTGGCTCCATAAAAGAGAAGGAAACCTTTTTTTTTTTTCCTTCTTCCACTCTGCCCCTGCCCCAAGGACAACTTTTATTCTAAGCACTGTGTATGTCAACATCTCCTTCCATAAATCAATTATTAATACACAGCTGATTAGGCCTAACACACCCTGGCTCTTTGCAACTTCATTAAGTTGAGATGGGAATTAGAGAGAAGTGGGACCATTAATAATATGGATATATGTCAAGTGGAGATCCACCCAAAATCACATGGTTTTGTTTTTTAATGAGAAGAGATCAAGGGAGGTGAAGGGGCTGCAGCTCCCCCTCCCTGCATGTCTCCCTTCTGCACATCTGCCTCTTAAAATACCATCATTGGCCTCAAACTCTTCTGACCTGTTTCTATTGGTCATTGGACATCCATGGGCTGAGAAACAGGGGCCAATTTGACCTCTGCAGCGAGCAGCTCTGACAGGACCCACGGTTCTGAAAGCCTTCACCCTGCAGCAGTGGGCAAGCACTGCCAGCTCCCCAGCTCTCCTCTCCCTGGGCTGGCTCCTGGGGTGCTTGCTCAGTCTCCAGGCCTACATAAAATCAGGGATACTTGGCTTCATCTGGCCTGGAAGAAACTCATGTATTTATGGAGCAGCTCCCCTTTCCCCCTCCACATCATCCCATTGAAAGCCCTTCTATGTCTGGCTCCATGAGTTGCTCCCCAGGCCTTGCTGCATCCCAGGATGCTGCAGGTGCTGGGGGTGCTGGAGGTCTGGAGGGGAGATGAGCAGTCTGTGCCATAGCTGGAGGGCAGAGAGGATTAGACAGGGAGGAAGGAAAGGTAGCGTGGGGTCAGCACCTGGGTTTGGTGCAGGAGAGCCCAGTGAAGGCAGTGGATTTGGATTTACAGGCAGCCCATTCTCGCCAGGAAGGGGACGGTGTCATTGAGAGGGAGCAAGAAAGGGGAAAGAAGATCTTGTGTTCTCAATGCTCTTATCTGAAGCAAACCCTTAATAAGGATTGGGATGAGCCTGGATAGAAGGGAGGGTTACCTGTGATACGGTGAAAAGCTGGTGGCAAGCGGTGGGCTGCTGGGGAAGGGGGTGAGCTGTGTGGAGCAGGGGGCTCGGCTGGCTCCAGGCAGTGGTGACACAGGCCATCGCCCTCCGGTCCAGAGGAACACACAACATGCACACTGTCATGCCAGGCTGCCGCTGCCAGACAGCATCTGCCTGGACAGACAGCACTAATTGCTGTCTCTTAACCTTGTAGAAAAAGTTCAAATGAACCTGAACCCCAAAGACATGATGTAGTAGCACTCTTCTGACACCTTCCTCCTCATTAGAACACTCAGTTCTCACCACTGCTGGTCCTCTTTTTCTTTTGAGGTCTTGTGGCTCTTAAGATTTTTGGGAAAAAGGTGAAAATTTAGTATTTTTTTGATGAAGGCCTCCCTCCACTCTCTAAAGAAAGCAAAGTCAGAGGACACTATGGTGTACTCTACTCTCTGCTCTGCAGGAGAACCCGTGATATACAGGAGACCTAGAAGACACCTCCATTGGCACATCCCACTCAAACTCAGCACGGATGGGAGCGGGGATATGTCCAGCCACACTGGACCAAACACATCCCTGAGCCCTGGATGCATTGTACCAGGGGTGTCAGGAGAAGACATTGTGATGAGGTTTGTGCCCAGCACAATCAAGTCAGATTTTTGTCTACCACCTGCAATAATGATAGTTATTACTGACCTCAGCAAAAGCAGAGCTCTTTCAAAGTCTCCCAGGAAAAGCCATGTTGTGTCTGACCCAAAGAATAGAGGTTTAGCAGCAGTGTTAGTGGGGCACAAATGGGCACTGTTATTCTTGTTACTCGCCCATTAGTTACTGCTCTCAAAGAAATATAAAAATGGGGATAAAAGGATTGAAAACTCCCTCAGATTAGAGCTACAAAAATACTCATGGTGTGTGTTGGTTTGCCATGGGCTAGGTGAGAGCGGTTGGCTTAGGGCAATGGCAGAGCATAGTGTGAGTCTCCATCCCCTGGGCTCAGGGTCTAACGGTGATTCCAGTCTTCCCCGGTGTTTCCATCCATGCGGGGGAAGCTACTGTACTGACTGGAGCCCTACTATACCGTGAACTGTCAGTCATGGGAGAAATTCCTCTCTGAGGGCTTGAAGAACTCAGAATTGCCATTATTTCCTGCACTTAAAATGACTGGTAATCAAAAGCCTTGTTTGGAAAGCCCCATTTGTGCCTCACACAAATCTATGCTCTGATGTATACTAAAATCTCACTTTAATTATGCATGAAATGTACGTCTATGGCTTTTAGGGACAGGAAACAGTTTTGTCTTGGGAATAACTGAGAATTATTTTGGCCTGGAGTCAAGAACATACAGCCCAGTTTTTGTTCATTTCAGTTGGTTTTGGGTTACTTTCTAAGTGCAGGCAGCTGCTTGACGAGGGCCCATTTCCTACAGAAAAGAAAGTTATTGTGTTCTTGGCAAATTCTCCCAATGCACCATTTCAAAACCAGAGCAGGCAGTGTAATGCCCTTTACCCCAGCTCCAGGGCTGCCATCTTGCAGATCTCAGGTGATCCTAGAGGACATGTAACCCCATTCTGAGTTGTGTTCCACCCCTCTACACGTAAAAATCCAACTATGAATCCTCCAACACTCCTACGCACCTAAGTAGTTTTTAAACAATGGGCTAAGGAGCCTGAAAAAGGGCTGCAAACCACATAAGTATCTTAGAAGAATGTTGCTTTTCATTTCCTGCTCATGTGCATGTCCCCTGCACTGGCCTGCAAGCCCTGACTGCCAGTCTGCCATATCATTTGCATATATTTGCAGATCTGTTTGGTCTCAGATGAGCAGGGTGTCTGGGGAGCTGGCAGTTTCCTGTGATCACAGCTAAAATTCAGATGATGCTGGCTTCCCTCCTTGCCCTCTGCACAGATCCAGCCAGTGGACATCAGATGTGCCTCTGAGATGCTGCCTCAAAGATACCCACCACCCAGCAAGCAGACACTGGAGCTCTTCCTCTGCTCTCAGATATTCAGAAGTTACCAGGAAAAATGCTAAATACATGGCTGCAGATCCCACCTTCACCCAGGCAATGCCTCGGCCTCCCGTCCCATTCCTGCTCTCCCAGGCCCATGCTGGATGCTCCAGCTCTCCCCTTGGCCACCTGCACAATGCCCAGCTCAGATGGATATGTCCATGCTCCCCTCATCCTCCCTCTTCTCTTTCTTTTCCCCTGTGGCACTCACCTCTTCCATCCATTGCTCACTAATTCCACTCTGTGCTCACCCCTGTGCCCGTCCCAGCCAGCATAGAAAGCAGCAAGACCTCGACCAGGCCAGTGCCTGCCCTGCCACAGCAGCTCCTGGGGGGACCAAGGAGATGTGTCTCTCCCTCAGAGAGGGCTGGCTTTATCCATTCTTGAAGGGCTAATACACTGCCAGGGGCTCAGCACTTCATTCTCTATCCCAGATCACTCATGTCAGGTCCGTCCATGTGTCCCAGGTCTGGGCATCCCTCCTCGTTGCTCACAGTGATAAAAAGGGGCTTTTGGTAACCTCTAGGTTCATGTTAGCTTTTCCTGGAGGTAAAAGTTTGCCTATTCTAAATGTCCCTCCCCTGGCAGCCATGACCAGGGAACCACTTGGAACCCAAAGCATAGCTGGTGCCTCAAAACCGTGTCTGGCTGGTTGTGTTCATTGATAATTTGGGCAATGTGGCAGGAGATGAGGTCCTGTTTGCTCCCTGCAGCTGCCTGGCAGGGCAGGCTCTGGGAGGGCCAAGCACGGCAGTGGTGCTGGGGGGCTGTGGAGCAACACAGTGTGATGAGGATGGGGGATATAGAGCTGGGAGGGGTGGTGGAGAATAGGAGAAGCTCCCCATGGTATGCACAGCCAGACTCATCTTGGCCCTGTTTCTGACGGACAGGTCTCTGGTTTCCTAGCCAGAGCCAAGTGGTAAGGGGGACTGAATGCAGCCTAGCACGCAGGGGAGAGAGGTGACCCCCTCTCAGGCACCTGGCTCCAATGCAGACATTGCTTTTCCCCTAACTGGGCAGAATAGTCTCTCAAGAGGTGAATGTGAAAAATCTTAACAGTTGCTATAGCCCAGGGCCCTTGCAGCCACATGGCTGGACTGTGATGTCCCCATCCATCCCAGCCAGCACCTAGGCAATTCCTGTGGGTTTTGGTGGGACGTGATGCAGAGTGGGGTGTTTCTTCCTCAAAACTTGGCCCTAAGCGAGCAGGCAGCCGTGCCACGCAGGACCCTCTCCTACTCTCAGCACAGACTGAACAAAATCCAAGTGCCACTGTGCTCTGCGGCAAGAATCTTGCTCACAATCTTGCTCTTGACTTCAGGAGCATCCCAAGAGCTGCCTATTTCCAGATTATGCTTCCAAGGAAGAGCAAACAATGCAGAGCTGCCATGATATATTTAACGATGAATCATTCTCTTAAAAATTATCAGCTGTGAAAGGCTTTCACCACACTGGGGATAATGCAATGATGTATTTCATGTGAATCAGTGCGAAGCGTATCCATGGTAACCCCATCCTCACAGTTTGCCAACAGTTGGGGTAACCGGCCTGGAAGAGTTGCAGAAAATAAACCCGCATATTATGGGTTTTTAAAGGAAAAATCAGGCCTGTTTTGAATTACAAGTGGCTTGTCTGCATGCTAAGCTTAGGCTTGTTTGGTTGGCATATTGCGAGACCTTCAGCAGGTGTCACTACCCAGGGAGGTAATTCATCATCTCCATGCAGCATCCGTCACCGCCGGGCGGGCGCAGACACCCGAGGGCTCCTTCCTCCGCAGTGCCCCGCTCATCACGCACACGGCCGAGTGGCCACAGGCTGGACCCAGGGGCCTGCAGCAGCCACCAGCCATGGAGGCACACGGGTACAGGCACAGGCGCGTAACCGGGTGTGATGCTCAGCAGTGAGTGCTTGATTTAGCAGTCTGCCTCCTACTCTCAAAAGAGGCGTAGGCACTGCAGGCACGTCGTCATAAGGCTACAGGCAGCCAAGCAGGCAAACAGATCCTAAGCCCACCCCGAGGGCACTGATGAAGGCAATGCAGATCCCATTATAAGTGCAACATATCTGCTTGTCAGTAATTTTAAAGCAGCTGAAATGCTTGTGATGTGCTCAGAGCCCTGTTTCCAGCAGGTGCTCCAGAGTCTGTGGTATTTGGGAAGAGAACAGGAAGGACTTGCATCACCATGGGGGCTTGGTCCTCAGGATGCATTTTTTGGCAGTTTTGGAGAATGCCTTGTCATGTTCCCCAGGATGGTGTGAGCTCTGGGAGGGTGGTTCATGGTAAACTGCTGCCCCTGCCTCCCAGAAACCTCAGGGCAAGACACAGAAGTTCCCAGTACAAATGTGAAATTGTACAGAGCATTCTCTTGGATTACTCAGGACTTGAACTTTGAAGACCATAAAGCGTGGGGTAAAATTCGAAAAGAAAAAGTAGTCCAGTTTGCTCTTTGGCTCTAGCACAGGTGTTAGACTCTCCTTGGTTCAGTAATATGAATTTTATAGAAAGGGAAAAAGTGTAATTTTTCTGTATGATAGCAGGATTTTCATGAAGTTGCCTAAAAATAGCATCCTGCAAAAGAGTGTCATGGCTTGTTTAACACTCATCAGGTCAGTCTGGGGTCTGTGTCTGCCTCAAGGAAAGAAAAAGTAAAGAAGGGCAAGTTCCTTTAGGGAATTAAATGGTGTTTTGATGCAGATCACTGGGCACTAGCAGGCTGCTTTGGAGATGCCCCTCTGTGAATTCAGGTCAGGAATGCTCAGGAATGGGGAAAGCAGCAGAGCCAGACTGTCCGTCCAGAGTGCTCAGCCCAGCTTCCGAGCCTCAGCTCATTCCTGTGAGCTCTGCTGAGCTTTGTTTTGCGTGGATACTTAACCAGTTTTATGCCTGGTGTTTGGAGTTTGAAAACCCAGCCTGAGGCAGCATAAAACATGATTTTCCCTTCAGTATTATGCGGTGACTGATTCCAGCCCATCTTTATTTTCTCTAAAGCATTATGAAAGACTAAACACTCCAAGAAAATGGCATCCATTCACAGCACGCCAAGGGCTATCGGCAGTGCTAATAAAAATTCTGATTGCAAGAGTATAACTATCAATCTCTATGACTCATGCTATGGAAGATGCTGAAATGGCACTCTTGTTTTCATCTCTCCAGCACTCTGTCGCAACGATAGTGTCTTTATGATAACAACTATAAAGCACATGCAGTTCTTGATATGTTTTCTAATTTCACTGAACATATCCCTTATATTTCCCCATAAAAAATAAGATTAAAAAAAAGGGGGGAAAGATGAAAGGATGAAAAATGGCAGAGAGAAGAAAAGAGGGAGAAAATTGGGTAAGGAAGGGGTAGGAAGATAAAAAGCTTGGCTTCTGCTGATTTTTCAGTCTTCTAAAAAATTAGAACCAAATATTTATTAATTTCTCCATGTTTCACCTCTCCAAAACGTCACCATCCTACATACCTCTAGGTCAGCCTGGCTGCCATGCCCAGCCCCTGTCCTGAAGGCCGCTTCCTCTTCCACCCAGTGGACACGGGCCAGTTGGCTACAAGCATTGCTGAGGAGAACCAGTCCTTTTGCCATGTGGAGAACTTCCAGGATTCTGGGATATAGCCCGAAAAAACACCAAACCCAGCTCAGGAAAGTAAATTTAAGGATGTATCCATTATCATATTAAACTTCCTACTAACTTCCAGCCAAAAGAATTGTGTCTTGGCACAGCCCCAGAGCTCCTGAACCCATCCACATAGTCAGCAGTGCTACCTCGGGCTCAGCCAGGACCAGACAGTGCAGCCTCAGGGAACAAATGTGAGCAAAATCTAATTTTCTGCTGGATCAACCTTAATTGTAAATCAATAGTTGAGCTTTTTATTTTTTTGCAAGGTGCTTCAGCACTGACTAGGATGCAAGTTATGTACAAGTCCTAGTGCTGAGCCTGGCACAGGTGATAGAGCCTGCTGGGTCGGGAAGGCTGAATGGGTACAGGTACTCAAAGTCATGAAACTCTTTCTGTGGACAGTCACTAACACTCCTGCTTCATCACGAGTATAGAGAAGATAAATTATCCCACAGTACCACAGAGAGGCTGGTTGTAACTGAAGTAAATGAAATGACAGAAACAGGTATTCTGAGATTTACTGGCGGTGCAGATCCATCTATCCCCACAACCACCTGCCTCACCCACTGGATGACTCCTGGTTAGATTTCAGCAGTGCCTGGACTAGCAGCATCTGTCTAGAGAAGGGAGAGAATATAAATATTCAGGCTAACCTGGGTGATACTTATTTGGTTGTTAATATGTAAAACCCTGGGCTGGACTCTGCCAAGTGACTGCAATATTTAATATTACTGCATTATATGAGTAGTTGCAAAAGCTCACGTTTGAGGAAGGCTGAAAGCCATATATATACACATATGCAGGTATATTCTGGTTTCAGAAGAATGAAAGTTCAACCACCGAGGTCATAAGGGACCTACGGGCTGCTCTATCCATGCTCTCAGCTTGGACAATGGCAGAACCAGGATTTCTGGTTTCTATGTATGACATAGTCTAGATGTAGTAAAACTGATGTGGCAGTGCTAGGGCCAGAGCCCAGATATGCTGGCTCTCAACATCCTGCCTTCACACAAGACCATTCTGGTCCAAATTGTCCATCCAAGAGTTTCCTCTACCAAAGACAAGTGGTGATAGAGCAGAGTGTCCAAGACCCACAGTCCATGCATGTGTCCAGGTAAGAGATTTGTGCTTTCATACTGAATGAAGAGGACACATCCTAGAAAACCATGCTGTGACTGCCTGTCCATCTTAGCCTCTACCTTAATACAGAGCTCACGTTGGACCCATCGATACCTTGCTGTCCAGGGACAGCAATATGGGACCAAGCTGACATGTCTGGACCCTCCTGTACCAAGTGTCAGCCAAGGAACCTGCAGCCTCTAGACAGGCTGCAGAGAGGCTCCCTCCACATGCTGCGAGCCTCGCGCTGGGCAGGGCTGTGTGCTCCTCTTCCTCCCAGATGCTGCAGCTTGCCAGTTCCCATCCGTTGCCCCTCCCAGCAACACGAGTACCAGCATCTCTCTGCTGTTGCCCATGTTTTATGGATAAAAACTTGATCACTCCCTTTGCCTTAATTCAAGAAGATTTGCTTACAAAGTATTGTCCCACCTTTCTCTATTTCATTTCTACCTGTTTTTTGTCCATGTTCTCTCTATGCAAGCCCATTGCATCCTGAGC